TCTTATGATCATCTCTAAAACAGATCCTAAAATGTACAAAAATACTAAAATATAGTACTGTTAAATTCTAATAATATGCCACTTATATTTAGAGATCCTAACTAATGTAGTAGGACAATTATTTTTTATAAAAAGAATATTTTACTTTTTAATTAACTACCAGTATTCGGTCAATTAATTGATTAATCTAGATAATATTTTATAGAAGTTCATTATAAAGACGGTTCTCCCAATCCAATTTGTTTTATTCACATCTTGAAAATTTGTACCTTTGATATTACTTAAAGAATCAAGTGTCTCATTCCGTTAGATTAACTAATTGTTGGTAAAGAATATTTTAATTTAATCCTAAATCATACCTCATATCATTATGCCAATTTTCGCATATCACTTTTTATTTAGTTTAAGAGAGATTGTAATTTTATTGTCATTTTTATTATTAATATAACTAAAAACGGCCGCATTATCTTATATTAGATGGTCAATTTATAAAATTTTAAAGAAAAATAAACTTATAAACTTTTAGAAGATGAAAATATAGTATCAATAAAAATTACAAAAAAAATAAAAAATATAAGAGAAATTAAAATTTTAATAGGAACAACTGCCTCATCTAGGGACTAAGCTATATAGGGAGTGAGAGGGGTTCTTGCCTCCCCTAAAATTTATAGTTTAATCGCATTTTTATGTCCTTATTAGTTTAAATTCAAGTAAAATTAGACTTTTATTTCCTAATTTTTTTAGATTAAATACATAATAAGTCCTTATCATTTTGAAATTAAGTATTTTGTCTCTTCCAGTATTTGATTCTCACTCCGTCCTCCATCGACTGTCTGAATTCAAATTGTATTATAATATTAAGTGCAGCAAGCACTCTTGGTAGACAAATAAAATTTCAATGCAAAACACTCCAACTTGATCCAAATTTGATGTAAAGGAACAATTATGATTTACGGACCACAAAAGAAATGTCGACTCTATGGTCACCTAAAAGATTTGAAGCAGCTTAAGCTCAAGTGGACAGCAAAGCTTTCCTTATTTGTCAACTTTTCATTTTCATTTTAAAGATAGAGTTGACGCCGAAGCTTCCAACTAATTGGCCTCCATTTGTCCCACAAACCTTGACTTTGGCTCACATGATGCATTAATTAAACTTTATCAAAGTCAACACACGTCCCATCTTCTTAACCATCAACAAGATTTGACACACTTGATTAAATGCCCGTTGAATATTGTGTACAACATGATAGCTACTCTGGTTTACTTCATGAATTTCTCCCTACTTTATCATTGATACACTCGGTGTTCATAAATTTTATTTATGAAATTTATACCATGCTCGTAACTTTGCATATTAACACTTTTATATAATCAATTGGCAAACCTTTTAATTTAATATTTGTTTGAAACTTGAGGTGTTACGAACCCATTGAACGGTTTCAGTGGTTAAAAAAGAATATTTTTCTCTCTTAAGATCTTAGGTTAGAACAGTTGGGTGTGTAGAGTGTGTACATTAACAATGATTAAGAAAAATTATAAATATATATCATCTTATAACCGCCTCTAAATTGTCGTGCAAATAATAAACTAAATTAATAAATACAATAAATAACAATAACAGAGAGTAAAATTCAACAATCGATAAGCTTTAAATACAATGGCTTAAAAATGCCGAAGCCAAAGAGAAACATTAATAATGTATCATTAGTTAAAGTTTTTCTTTAACATTTGTTATAATAATCACCATTATTATTATTTAAAATATTTTAGTCATTAATGTTTTATTTTTTTTTATCAAAATGATCATATTATTGTATAAACGGTTAGTTGACTAACGATTGATATTTGCTGTTAATACGACACATTCACATGTGCTCAAGTATTAACGTGCTATTTTCATGTGTTTAATTGAGTATGTGACATAGTATTAGGTAAATAAAAATATTTTTATTTATTACATTAATATTATATAAGTTGATGACACATTTTATTATTTTATTGGTGAAAAAGATAAGTTGTCACTGAAAGAATTAATGGGATAGATGAATCAAGCTTGAACAAGTAAGGTTGTGTTCATGTTCGTTTATTTATTTTTGAAGTTTTTTTATGTTTGGTTCGCATTCATTTAAACTTTTAATATCATGTTCATTTATTTATTTTTTAAGGTGTTCGTGTTCGGTTCGTTTAGCGTTCAAGAATATGTTCGTTTAACATTCACGAACTTGTTAGTTTATATGTTCAAAAAATGATGAAATTATGCCACTAGTCCTTAAGCTTTTTAGGCCTTACAGTTTAAACTTCAAAGTTCACAATGTGTTCATTTTAGTCCATGCCTTCCATAATATTTGAAAAAAATAAAAGGAAAATAGAACCAAATAAACAAGCTTATAAACGAGTTGATAAATGATATTTCAAATGAGTTTGCACGTAACATAAATGATTCGAACACACATTTGTTCATGTTTGTTCGTTTATTAAATGAACATAAAAATGTACTTCATACTCGTTCATTTAACTTAATAAATGAAAATAAACAAACACTATATGAATGGTTCACGAACAGTTCATCGAACGCTCTTTTAATTTACACATATTAAGATTAGATTCTTCTAATATTTTATAATTTATATTAAATTTAATATATTTTTCTTAAATATAAATATAAATAACAAGTTTTATAAAAATGTTATAATTGATGTTATAAATATATTTTCATAATGTTTTATGATGTTATAAAATTTTCAATTATATCTCATGATTTATATTATAATTAATGCATTTTATAAGGATTATCACAAATAAGTACCTAAAGTATGTTTTCTTCTTCATTTAAGTACTTAAAGTTTTTTTTATCAAAATAAATATCTAAAGTTATCTTTTTGGTCAAAATAGGTATCTAAAAATATTTTATGTCAAAATAGGTACTTAAACTATTCAAACATTCTCATTTAATTTCTAAAAAAGTTGACATGTGACATTAATTAAAGAATATTTTAGGTACTTAGATGAAAAAAATGAATACTTTATGTACCTATTTTGACCAAAAATAGTTTAGATACCTATTTTGACCAAAAATATAACTTTGGGTACTTATTTAGACCAAAAAATTACTTTAGTACTTAAATGAAAAAATGATGTCCACATCATTCGTGATTCTAATTAATAACATTTGTCCATATCATTTTTTCTAAAACGAATTTTCACCTTTCTTACATATAAATAAAAAGTGGATTGTTCTTCAAAAATTATTTTAAAATTTATTACTGTCATTTACTAAAATTATGGATAATGTGGTGAGCAGAGTCATTAAAATATTTTCTCATTTAAAATAGAAGAAATCACGTAGTTATGGCGAATTCCTGAAAAATCACCCTAATTTTTTTTATTCCCTATCAGGTACCTTTTGGACTTTATTTCTCGATCTAACACCCTTTGCAGAAAGACGCACCCCTGAAACGCGCCTTATTGAACGTGTAAAAAACTCAGGTGTTAATTTTGTAAATATTTTTAAAATAGTGCCTAATATGTAATTAATTTATGTTAGAGTGATATTTATGTAAAAACATCAACTTTGTTTTTTGTTTTTGTAAAAAAAAACTTTATATATTAAAATCTTTAAATATTCATTTGCAAATTATTTTATAACTCGACAAATTTTTATTTTTGCATGAAATTACACAATACGTATAATCTAGTATATGAAAATTTTGAGAGTAAATATTTTAAAATATGAATAATTTTATAAAAGTTTTATAACTAGTATTTCTTTTTCAAAATGATGATGATGATAAAATTTTATAATTTAAAAAATTATAAATTTTATAAATTTTTGATTTTTTTTTTACTTTATATTCTTTTTCTATTGAATTTTATTCACTTTTAATTATTTTTTATTACATTTTTATTGGTTTTTTTTAAAAAAGTGAATAATAATTCATTTGATCTATCAATTATAAGATTTTTGCATTAAATTACACAATATGTATAACATAGTATATGAAAACTTTGAGGGTAAGTATTTTAAAATATAAATAATTTTATAAAAGTTTTATAACTAGTATTTCTTTTTCAAAATGATGATGATGATGATAATAAATATTTTATAATTTAAAAAATTATAAATTTTATAAATTTTTAAAAAATTTATTGACTTTTAAAATTAATTGTTTAAAAATATAAAAAATATTAAAATAAACTTTTAAAATTAATAATGTTTATTCATTTTTAATAAAATTAGAATTTAATATATAAAATTTATTATTTTTTAAATTATAAAATATTTATTATTATCATCATCATCATTTTGAAAAAGAAATACTAGTTATAAAACTTTTATAAAATTATTCATATTTTAAAATACTTAACCTCAAAGTTTTTCTATATTAGATTATACGTATTGTTTAATTTCATGCAAAAATCAAAATTTATCGAGTTATAAAATAATTTGTAAAAGAATATTTAAAGATTTTAATGTAGTAAGTTTTTTTTTTCACACACAAAAAATAAATAAATAAAGTTGACGTTTTTACACAAATATCACCATAACAAAAATTAATTACATATTAGATACTATTTTAAAAATATTTACAAAATTAGTATCTAAATTTTTTACACATTTCACAAGACGCACCTTACACCACGTGGAGTCAGATCAACATAAGGCGCGACTTTCTACAAAAAGATGTTAAATCGAAAAATAAAATCTAAACGGTACCTAACAAGAAATAAAAAAAGTTTAGGGTGATTTTTGGGAAATTCGCCCCGTTGCATATTTTTGGAAAAAATTATTTATGGAAAGTGCCAAGTCAACTAGATATTCATCATTATCCTCAAAGAGGAAAAAGAAATGACGTCACGATGTTGTCAGAATCAAGATAAACCACATTGTTGCACTGATCGAAGCAGTTGACCTATGAATTACTGAGCCCCCCAAAAAATGTATTGTTTTTCACCTATAAATATGACAACAACACAGTTGAAGAATTAACAAAAACAAGAAAAAAAATAAGATTCCCCGATTGTGTTAATAACAAGTTCTAGCCATGGCATTTCTACAACCAGCCTCCCTAGTGTTCACTGTACGAAGGCACGAACCGGAGCTCATTGTCCCGGCTGAACCGACCCCTCACGAGTGTAAGATGCTATCAGACGTCGACGACCAAGACGGCCATCGTTTTCAAATTCGAGGACTCCATATTTATCGGTCCAACGCCAGCATGCAAGGGATGGATCCCGTTAGGGTTATAAGAGAAGCACTTGCGAAAGCCTTAGTGTTCTATTATCCATTTGCTGGTAGAATAAAGGAAGGGCCTAACCGGAAGCTTATGGTGGATTGTACCGGGGAAGGTGTGCTGTTTATCGAGGCTGATGCTGATGTTACACTCGAAGATTTTGGTGATTCACTTCACCCTCCATTTCCCTGTTTCAATGAGCTTCTTTGTGAGCCCCTTGACTCCAATGGTTTGTTAAACTGTCCGGTGTTACAAATTCAGGTATTCCTTCATTTAATCCTTATTAAAATTTTACACTAGAAGCATGCATGTAACTAAGTATAATATTAAATTTTTGATAGGTGACACGTTTGAAATGTGGCGGTTTTATCTTTGCTCATCGATTCAATCACACTATGAGTGACGCTGTTGGGTTGATTCAATTCATGTCTACCATGGGCGAAATAGCACGAGGTGCAGTGACTCCCTCAATCCCACCAGTTTGGGAAAGACACCTCTTGAATGCTCGAAACCCACCGGTCGTAACATGCGAGCACCACGAGTACGACCACTCGACGGCCGCCATGGGTACAATCATGCCTACAGACAACTTGGTTCACCGCTCTTTTTTCTTCGGGCCAACTCAAATTTCAGCTCTTAAAACACTCGTCTCCGACAACCTCCGTTGTTCAACATTCGATGTCTTAACCGCATGCATATGGCGCTGTCGTACCAAAGCCTTGGAACTCGGTCCCCACGAAGACGTTCGGTTCATATGCATAGTCAGCGCAAGGTCCAAATTAAACCCTCCTCTGCCATTGGGGTATTACGGGAACGTACTGGGGTACCCCGCCGCTAAAACAACTGCAGGGAAACTAAGCCAAAATCCATTAGAATATGCAGTAAAGCTAGTGAAGGAGGCCAAGGCAAAGGTTACCGAAGAGTACATGAAATCGACGGTGGATTTGATAGCGAGTAGTGGACGACCAAATGTTAACACGGTTCGATCAATCATCGTGTCGGATCTGACTCGAGCAAGGTTCAGGGAGGTTGATTTTGGGTGGGGTAACGCAGAGTTTGGTGGACCGGCGAATGGTGGAGATACTATAAGCTTTTATATACCCTGGAAGAATAAGGAGGGGAAAGAAGGGATTGCTGTCCCGGTTTGCTTGCCTGCACCTGTTATGCACAGCTTTGCTAAGGAGATTAATCGAATGTTGATAGGCGCCGGTGAAGCAACTGCTGCTTAGACTGATTATTCTACTAGTTTGTGGCATGGAATTTGCAATATAGTTGCTTAAAAGGTTAAGCTTTAGATAAAAAATAGTTTCATATAGCTGCTAAAGATATTTTGTTGTAATATGTTTAGGTTGAAGATGTTTATATATATAAAAATGAGCTGTAAGAAGGTATTGGGAAAATTTGAAATACTATCAAATAATGAAAGTGTTTTAGCTTGGAAAAGGAAGTGCTAGCATCTCCCATCCTCCATCCTACTAAAAATGGAGAGCATAGGCCCAGTCACTATTCACAACTAAAGGCTTGTTCAAATGGACTGACTCGTTTTCCCATGAGGTTGTTGGATGAATTAAAAGCCAGTGGTTGAGAATGAAATAACTCTTACCTATATTCTACACCAACCGGTTAACAAAATCATTCCATCCTTTCCTTCCTTTTTGGAATCATGGCAACCTCCTACACTCTTAGTGTTCAAGGTCCATCGGCGTAAGCCGGAACCGGTAGCTCCCGTTAAGCCTTCCCTTAAGGAATACAAACAATTATTCGACATAGGGTGTTCAAATTATGTTAGATTAACTTTTAATTATATTTATATTGGTCCATTGTCCTTGATGATGTCAAGATGGTGCATTTTTACTGTAGGAAGAGTGAAAGGAGAAGAAGGGTGGGTGAAAGAGGCGTAATCGGAGACTAACATAGGCAAATAGGTCAAAATTCAGCTTTCAAAATCTTATATTGGTCCATTGTCCTTAATGATTTTTATTAAATCATACAGTCATAGGTCGGTTTAAGTTAATTTTTTGTCGATTCAAATACGACTTGAATAATATATCCTATTTGATATGTGATTCTAACTAGTTTGTGGCATGGATTACTTAAAATATTAAGCTTAAATAGTTTAATATAGGGTTGTATTATGTTTGGGTTAGTATGTGTGCGCGTGTGCGTGGACTGTAGAAAGGTAATGTGAAAAAATTAAAATACTATGAAATAAAAGGTAAAGGTCTGTTAAAATGGACCAACTCGTTTTGTCATGACTATTGAAGGGACAGTACTGAGGTTGTCGGATGAAGTAAAAACTAGTGGTTGAGAATTAAATAACTCTTATCTTTATTCTACACGAACCAGCTATCCAAAACATTCATACTCAATTCCTATGCCCTTTTATTCCTTTTAGAATCATGGCAAATTCCTCCACTCCCTTAGTGTTCAAGGTTCGCCGGCGTGAACCGGAACTGATAGCTCCCGCTAAGCCTACCCCTAGAGAATACAAACTATTATCCGACATCGATGATCAAGAAGACCTTCGTGTCCAACTTCCGCTTATCCAATTTTATCAACACAATCCTTCAGTGCATGGAAAAGACCCTGATAGGGTGATTAGGGAGGCACTTGCACAGACCTTAGTGTTTTATTATCCATTTGCTGGTAGGTTAAGGGAAGGACCTCACCGTAAGCTGACGGTCAATTGCACCGGTGAAGGTCTCATGTTTATCGAAGCGGATGCTCAAGCAATTTGGTGATGCACTTCAACCACCATTCCCTTGTTTGAGGGAACTCCTTTATGACGTTCCGGGCTCCTCTGAAATGTTGAATTGTCCATTATTGCTTATTCAGGTATTTATTTTTATTTATATAATTGTATTCCACTGATCTTGGGGTGTGTTTCAAATACCTTTGTATAAATAGTTATTGTTGTTTTGATCAACAGGTAACGCGGCTGAAATGTGATGGTTTTATCTTCGCTCTCCGCCTCAACCAAAATTTGAGTATGTTCATCGTTTTTACACATTTATTTATCATTTTTACTAATGCCGTCATTGTGATCATTTTCTTTCGAAATGACGTGACTTCTTGTAGGGTATTAATTTTGGATATAATGGGAGTGTTCTAATATTTTTCATGAACAATAACTCGAATTTGCTTTTGACCCAGATATTACACGTAGATTAAATATTTATGGCACCAAGAGCTATATTGAATTTTCTATATGTTTGGGTTCGAGTGTAAATAAAATATCTTTCAAAGTTTTATGAGATAAATATGTTTTCACTCTAGATCGGGTAACCTATCCTATGTCGAATCTCTGTGGACAATCTATATAGGTACATAATATCATTATCGGATCTTACGGGCTGATGCAAGAACAAGGGCGAAAAAGTGAAAATAAAATTTGTTGATGGCTGAAGCAATTGTACGAAGTTGATGGCTGAAAAAGAAAGCATTTTTAGAAGAAAACTGGAAATCCCAAACTATGGTTTTCTTTCTTGTTGAACTATATTTTATTGTTTTCATTCAGAATCGCTACAACTCGAGCTGGAACTGGAACTTGAGTCATGGGATTTTGTCTTTTTACCTTTAAGTTTCAGATTTGACTTTTCAGATGATTCTTACTCACCACCAGCATTCTCTGCATGTTCTTGAATCCAGAGACTGCATTTTCACTAACTTCAATCTCTTCAGTTGAAACTCCATCATGCTTCCTGGAAGAATTAGGTAGCTCAGCAGGATTAGATTCGGGGCCTTGTTAAAAAGTGTTATGTATATCCTCTTGATATCTCGCCTCAACAACAGGCAATACTGAATTGGTATCTGTATGACACTGCTGATTCTCAATCATACTTGGTAGAATTACTTCCTTCACATCTACCCCTTCATTAAGTTGCTTAAAAACCAAATCAATGTCTTCAACTGATTTTGCTTCAAGAACAGGTAGTGCCGCCTTGGTCTCTATCTCTATTTCTTCTGTATCTTCATATTCATCTTTCGGTTCACCAGCAGTATTCTCGTTTGTTTCTTGAATACCTGTACCTGAGACGGCATTACTACCATCAATCTCTTTCGGAGAAACCACATCATGATCTGCTCCTGATGAATGTCGCAGCTCAGCTGGATTAGATTTGGTGCCTTGTTGAAAAGCATTATGTATATCCTCTAGTGATCTTGCATCAACAACAGGTAAATCTGAATTGGTGTCTGCATGACCCTGGTGATTCTCAATCATGCTAGGAAGAATTACTTCCTCGACATCTACTCCTCCATGGAGTTGCTTAAAAGCCAAATCAATGTCTTTCAATGATCTTGCTTCAAGAACAGGCAGCTCCACGTTGATCTCTGTCTTCATTGCTTCGATTTCATCATAGCCAAATTTTGGTTCACTGGCAGTGTTCAGACTATTTTCTTGAATACCAGAGACGCCATGATTAGCTTCAATCTCTTCACCAGAAACCACATCATGTTGCTCCATGTCTGCTGATCCATTTCTAAAGCCAGCAGAAAGAGGCAGCTCCGCTGGATTAGGCTCTGGGCATTTTTGGAAAGCATTATGTATATCCTCCAGAGATCTTGCCTTGACAACAGGTAATTCTGGAGTGGGATCTGCATGATTCAGGTGATTCTCAATCGTGCTTGTAAGAATTACTTCCTCTGCATCAACGTCATCATGAAGTTGCTTAAAAGCCAAATCAATATCTTCAACCAATCTTGCCTCACGAACAGACTGCTCAACATTGGTCGACATCTCTATTTCTTCTATTTCTTCATATTCATTTTTTGATTCAACTGCATTATTCTCATTTTCTTGAAAACCAGAGGCCATCTCACCAACTTCAATCTCTTTATTAACCACATCATGCTGCTCTACTTCAGTCGAACCATTTCTCAAGTTCATTGACTGTAGCAACTCAACTGGATTAAGTTCTGGTCCTTTTTGGAAAGCATTATGTATATCTTCGGGAGATCTTGCCTCGACAAAGGGTAATTCTGAGGTGGGATCTGAATGATCCAGGAGATTCTCAATCATACTTGGAATAATTACTTCCTCAGCATCCACTCTTTCATTAAGTTGCTTAAAAGCCAAAACAATATCTTCAATCGATCTTGCTTCAAGAACAGGTAACTCCAAGTTGATCTTCGCCTTCCGTTCTTCAGTTTCTTCACCATTTTCAGGTTCACAGGTAGCATTATCATAACTTCCTTGAATATCAGAGACGGCATTGCTAACTTCAATCTCTTTGGAAGAAACTACAACATGCTGCTCCACTTCTGATGATCCATTCTTCAAGTCTGTGGACTGTGGCGGCTGAGCTGGATTACGTTCTGTACCTTTTTGCAAACCATTACGTATATTCCCCAGATACCTCGCCTCGACAACAGTTAAATCCGACTTGGTATCTGCATGATCCAGCTGATTCTCAATCATACTTGGAAGAATTACTTCCTCAACATCCACTTCTTCATGAAGTTGCTTAAAAGCTAAATCAATATCTTCTACTGATATTGCTTCAAGAACAGGCAGTTCCACATTGGTCTGGTTTTCAGCCCCAATATCTTTTGGTACCACTGTAGATTCAGCATAGGTAAGATGAGATCCCTCTGGTAAACCGATTTCCCCGACATTGAAGTCCCCAACAGTGTCCAATTCAGAGAGTATAGCTTCATCAATTTTTTTAATCTCATGGACTTCACTATTATTTTCCTCATGAACATGAGGGGCATATACGTCAACATAACTGAAGCGTTCGTTGGGGCCTTCACTTTCAGTTTCTTTTAGGATCTTCTCTCTCAAATCTTCTTGCACTGTTGGCAATGTAAGTTCGGCACTCTCAGAAGGAAAATAAGTATATTCTGAAGTCGTGGAAGAGAATTTTCATTGAAAGCTTGTCCTCAGAATCATGAACTTCATGCACATTAACGTCATTTGCTTCCCTTCTAGACTCGGTTGCAATTATAGATGGTTCCTAAATCAGAGCGGTACGAGTTAGTTCCAAGATCACCATTTTAATACAATTAGGATATGCAAAAACATAAAATTTGAGATGCCTAGATTGAAATGAAAAGAAATGCATGTGAAAGCAGAAGTAAAAAACAATTCACCTGCTGATAAGATTCAGTTATATCCAAGGAAATTCACTCATACACAATGCAGTGTATCATCTAAAATGCGTATTTAAGCATACATGCAGTGACAACGTTTCCAACAAGGTAAACCTAATTGCAGTAAAATCTTAATTTTCAGTAATATATCACATAATCCATGCTTAGCTACTTCAACATCATTATTTGACACAAAAATAGTATTGTTGTTTTCAATTGGACTCTTTTTTCTGCAGGTACATATGGTATTAAAGATTATTTTTATACAGCCATTAATCCTATAGTAAAAGGGAGGCGGGAATGAGAAAAATGAAGAATAAGGATAGGGCAGATGATCATTTGACTCCTACCGGAATCAGAGCAAGAAAAAGGAAAATTCATGATAGAAACGGCCTTATCTAAGGAGATCAACATAAGCATTTGTATTGAACAAATTAAATAGATTATTGAAGAAAAAATATAAAAAATATTGATAATATTATTATTCTTCAAAGAAGTATGTCAATTCATCAAGCGAAGGTAATTTAAACAAATACAAGTGTGATAGAATAATTTACCTCGAGCTTATCATGTTCATCAATGGGAATTTCACCTTTATCGAACAACTGCTTTGATTCTGACGAAGGGTTTTCACAAGAAGACACGTCTTGGTAACAAGAGAGTGAAGGAATTCCCTCAACATTCATCTCAGGGTCAAGACCTGTACTAGTCTTTGAATCAGAAAATGGCGAATGGATTTGATCCATTTCAGATTCCTTTTCATTCTCCTCCCAGAGGTTAGCCTCTGAAGGGTGAACTTGAGCCACCACTACATAACCTGGTTCCTCAGCTGTGGACGAAATTACATCACTGGAAGGCATATGCTGGTATGTCAAAACAATTGAAGATAACTCACAGTTATCACGGTGACCATCAACATCGAGATCTAAATCAGAGTTTGAAAAATGCATTTGACTGCATTCAGTCTGAATGAGTTCGTCTTGCTCAAATGAAGTGTCTTCTTTTTCAGCTACATGCCTAGTCACCTGTTCGTCCTCCAGAAATTCATAAGGGTGCATATGATGTTCTTGTTTCTCAGGTGAGGGATCCAACACCTCATCCATTCCTTTGTCAATGGAAAGAGTAATCTCTGCGCCAATGCTCAATAAGTCCACAGGGGTCTCGATAGAGCTTTCTTCCTTGTTCGGCACATCCGAAGATGACTCTGCCTCTCTTGAAACATATTCAACCACAGATTCATGCGCCATTGATAAATTAAGATCAGCAGTGGAAGAAACCCCTGTTGAACCAATAAAGGTAACATGATGCTCACTAATCTCTGGCTGATCTCCTGCCTTCAGTTCATTTTCATTCTGTAAATCTGACATCTCTTGAAAAATAGAAGTACCCTGCTCAGCCATTTCAAAATGTGCTTCCCAATTCTTATCAGTAGATTCAACCAACATTGAGCGTGAACCTATTTCAGATATCTCAGCTTGAGTGTCAGAAGAGACGGTCGACGATGAGAGGAATGTCGCAACTGATAGAGGGTGATAACTAGAATAAAAAATGGGCTCCAAATGTTGATTAGCCTCCACTACCCCACTTGTAAAATGGAAACCTGATTCCTCGAATGACGGTTGTTTAGAAATGACAGATTCATTAAGTTCATGATCTCTGGGTTCAAAACCTGCAAATTCATCTCCCTTGATATCCGATATGGTTTCAACGATTTTTGATAATGATTGTAGATGCTCGGTTTTGTCCGGAGGCTTTGTATCTAGTACACGATATAAATTTGGACCAGGGAAAGCCAAATGAGCCCAAATCTGTTGGAGGCCCAGCTCAAGACCAAAGGACAGCAGTTGTATGCAGAAAAAGAAAGAGATCAATGTTGGTTTTTAGAAGTTGAAATAATCAAATAGTGGAGAATTGAAAACTGTAAAGAGTTAGTTTGAGGGGTATTAACCACTAAAAGGAACCATCACAAATTATAGGGGGGGAGAAGGAAAAGAGAGGAGAATCGGAGACCATTTTTTTCTCCATTCATTGCTTTGCTTGATACGATAGAGTAACAAATACTGAATAGAGAGTGTAAACAATATTCTTTTCCCTTGTATAAAAAAATCAAACAGTGTAAAGACATCTTTTTTAGAATGAAGCATTATAACAAGCAACACCATTTCTTTAGCAATCCAACAACAGAAGCAATCCAAGCAGTCCATAAACAGGTTATTATTATTATTATTTTTTTCTTTCTAAATAATAAGCAATATCACATGTTTTGAATCAAATAAAACTAAAGTAGAAATAGGCTGTTAGATTTACCTTTTCACATGATCTCGTCGACGGAGAAGGAGCTTGGGATTATGAGTTTAAGGTCAATTTGGGGTTAGCATTAATTCAATCTTGGAGGTTTTTCATGTAGATAGAGGTCTTAATTTGAGTGTAGAGGCTCGGTTTTGGGTTCGGCTGAAGGAATGAGCAGGTTCGGGAGAGTAACGGTAGAGTTAGGGTTATTGGCCTCTCATCGGAGTTTAATTATAAGGCCGATTCAAGGCATTTTGAGCGGTGGAGGGAGTGTTGTGTTTGGGTTCTAGTTAAACTTTTGTTAGAAGCGTGAAGAAGGTGAGGTTTTGTTCCTGTAGTGATTCGGTTTTAGGCATTTTCGGTGAGGGTTTGTGGTGGTTCGGGTAAGGATAGCTACTTCCGAGGGTGGCCGGTGTTGTTCTGTTGGATTGAAGTGATGGTGGCCGTTCTAGTTAAACTTTTGTTAGAAGCGTGAAGAAGGTGAGGTTTGTTCCTGTAGTGATTCGGTTTTAGGCATTTTCGGTGAGGTTTGTGGTGGTTCGGGTAAGGATAGCTACTTCCGAGGGTGGCCGGTGTGTTCTGTTGGATTTTGAAGTGATGATGGCCGTCGAACAGGGTGGCAGGCGAAGAGAGTTTCGTAACTCTCTATTGTAGGGAGAATGGAAGAGAAACGACTGAGGGGTAGAGAGTTGGCTTAATGCAAAGGAAATTAGGGTTTATTTTTGCCTTAAATTAAATATGGTATGTTCAAACGGCGGCGCTTCATAAGTTAAGGAATTCATCGAATGATCCTTTAGGTTTCAAAAGCTCGTATTCTGGTCCCTAAATTGATTTCTGAATTTGTTGTTTAGCTCTTAAGTTGATGCGTGTTCCATTATAGTCCTAGATTTGTTAATTTTAATTTTACTTATTTACACATTGAACATGCAGTTTCAGAAACTTGGTGTTTTAACCCTATGTATGCGTATGGTTCTTTTTTTTTTCCTTTTTCACTTACAAGGCTCATAATGTTATTTTGTTACATTTTAATCCTTTGTCTTTTAATAGACAAATTACAATCTTGGTGCTTGGAATATTATTCTTTTGTGTCATGACTCAATGTTTGTACAGTTTGTTACTTTAGCCTCAGATTTACAGTTCCCTTTTAATTTGGTCACACATCTTTAGGACCATTTTTTTTCACCATTTTTTACAATAACATGTATTTACCTCTTTTGTTTTAATCTTAAATTAATGTCATTACGTTTTAATCCATATTTAATTTTTTATGTGTATGTATGTATAGTTATTTAGGGTTCGTTTCGAATGTATGCTTCATATGGTTGAATGATGATGATATGAATACATGTACACATATGTTGTTCATTAATTAGATATCATTTTATATATATATATATATATATATTTTTTGTTTAATTAATTTTTACATGACATTATTTTGCATAATATGCATGATAGCCTCACTTGCATAACTCGACATATTCATAATTGGATTAAGGGTAGTATATTTTTAATTTAAAATTGTTTTAAGTGGGCAGTCATAACTGATTTGAGGTCCGCTTTTAATGATTTTAAAATAAAAGTGTATCCCGAAAGTGAAACCAAAAAATTTGATTCGTCACCTAAAATTTGGGAACGGGAGAAAAAATGTTGTTTATTTAAATATATCGAGAAAAGGTTGTTATATCTTTAAGATCTGGTCTCGATATTTGTAAATAATCGAACATTCTTTATCTTTCTAAAATGACTTGGTAATTTTAATTTAATTTGTTTGAGTGTTCTTGAATGTTTTAAATTTACATTTTTGTTTTATGGGATCAAAAAATCAAATTAAGTTCGAATTTGTAAAGTTCATTGCAAAAATGTTAATTAATCGACTAGGTACCGATTTAGGGCGTTGTGGTGGTGCTAATCCTTCCCCATACGTAACCGACTCCCGAACTCGGATTTTGGTAACGCAGACCTCAATTTGTTGTTTTAATTAAAATTAATTTTTATTTAAAATGACAAAGCATTTTTGGGTGCCCAATCACACCCTAATCAAAGATTGGTGGCGACTCTTCGAACCGTATTTTTCGATCTTAAAGGAAATTCAAAAATTTTTCGAAACGAGAGGTCTTTTAAATCACATTTGTTTTAAAATAAAAAGAGACAATTAAGAATTAATGTGGTTTTCAAAATCTCACCTTTTTTCACCTTTTAAAAAAATCGTTTCGACAGCTTGGCGACTCTGCTGGGGACTTTTTTTTAGAGAGTCAAGCCGATAGTCGATTAATTAATTGTCTTTGCAATTGGAAATTACAAATTCGTTTTAATTTGGTTTTTGATCCATTGTTTGGTTTTCAATAATTTTTGTTTGTATTTTGATTTCTTTAATTTAATTCGATTGACAATTAAATAGTTGTACTAATCTGTTTGCTAATGGTTTCAGATTAATTGTGTGAATTTAGGAAATTTTGAGTGTTTTTATTGTGTTTTTCGCTTTTCCTCACACACTGCACAGTTGCATTATCATAACATGAGCTAAAACCCCGCTCTGTCCTATTTAAGTAGAGTGAGAGACTGTGCCCTCGTGTGGTTTTCACCTCCGCATGGGATAGTGGATCGCTCCTGGAGCTCACGCCTTATGGTCCTCGTGATGGTAATCACCTCCGCATGGACATAAGGAGGTGTGTTCTCTCGAAATTGAACTCGATCCCCTAAAGCCTGTGATGGGCCAGGATTGAGGGTTCAGCAGCCCAAGGGGGCACCGACAAGGACAATTCGAGAACCTATTGCTTTAGAACCTAACCCGGCATATAGTGAACATAGAGCCTGAACTTAGGTTGAACCAAACCCGAACCTTAAGAATCCCGTGAGGAGGGTACACAAGGAAAAGCTTTTTTTGAGTCATTTATTTTCATTTTTCGAATAAATGCTTGCGAACTAGATATCATGCGATTAGGTTTATTTTTTGAATAAGCATGTGAATTAGATATCATGAGGTTAGGATTTCTTTTGTGGATAACAAAGCATGGGGGTAGATATCATGTTGGGTAGGATATGATAAAGCATGATGGGGTAGTCAACATATGTGGGTAGGATTTTTGAACAAAATATTATCCTGACTTAATTGCTTCATGTTTACTAACCGATCTTTTGTTGTTTTTGCCTTGTTTCTTTTATGTTTTGCATTGCATTGTCCATTACATGGTGTTGATTTGGGATCGATGTCCATATAGAAGGCCAGTAATATGGAACGAACGGCTCAGAAAGAGGTTGAAGATAATGCAGATGTTTTGAGGTGGTCGAAACAGTCCCAACTGACCAATGGGGACAGCGTGATGCCTGGATATGTCAGAGTTATTTGGTTACACTCACATCAACGTACGTCAGAATGATCTGAGTGAGCTAAGAGAGATATGGGGAAGATGGGAAGCAGCCGATAAATAGATGTTTTATCAGTTGTACGGCGATATTCCCTATCTTCTGGATGTTCCTATTGACCGAAATCTGTT